AATTGATTTATTTTAAAATTTAATAATTTAAATTCAAAAAAACTTAAATTTGATAATCCAAACTTGAATAATTTTAATGTTAAACTCAAATAATCTAACTCAAAATGATTTGAAATTGAAATAATTTAAATCCAAATCGATACAAATTTTTTTATCTAAAATGATATGATCCAAAATAATTTGACCTTTGCCACCTTTCTATGGATTTGGGATTAGTTATTGTGTATCACAAGAAATAATGTAATTGATCTAATGTAAAACATGACATTCCAAGAAAACATTCTTAACAATTAAAATTTGAGAGGTTTCATATTTGGATTTATTAGATGAGGGAGATCCAAAATCTTTATGTATACAATGTACCAAAAAAATCATTATGTATAAAACAATTATATGCTTAATTTATAGTATTAATTAAGGTCTTAAAACATACTTAATTGATTGATTCATCCACAGAAGAATTCATATTAAGAATTTAGACTAACAAAAGACTAAATAGGAAATGTGACAATTCTTTAATTTAAAAAAAAATGGAGTGATTACTTATTTTAGCTAGTTTTAAGACTTTTAAGTGATTTAGTGAGATGAATTTTTATTACAATGTAATTACATTTTTATAATTGAACTTTTAAAGATTCAATGAAAAAAATGATATACATGGCACGTTGAGAGTTCTCTCACTTCGTTGGATGAATTTTTAAGAGTTAATGTTATAAATAACCTTTAAAATATAGTTAGATATTTAATGTAATACTTGAATTTTAAAAATTTTTAATATGTTGCTTAAATTATGAATCTATTAACAAATGTGATATTCACTTTTAATGTGACTAACTTCAAATAATAATATGTGGTGGACTAACAATTTTTTAAGTGCTATATTAATTAACATATTCATAAATTAGGTACCATATTAAAAATTTTTAAAACTTAAGTACCATATTGACTATTTTATTATAATTTAAGGACATGACATTAACCGAATTTTTAATCAATTGAATATTTGTATTTCTCTAGAAGAAGAATGCATGGCTCCTATGTGGCAAATGAGTTTATAAATTACATTTACTAAAGTTAGGAAAAATAAAAATACTAAAGTATAGAATTAGGGCAAATAATACTTATAGTCCATAAACTTTAAGTCAAAATTTACTTTTGTCTTTAATTTTTAAAAAAGATCTAATTGCAAAATCAATTGTCAAAAATTAACTTATTTTGATTTTTTTTTACTTAAAGAATCGTTTAAATTAACAGTAAATACCAACTGACATCATGTGTATAGTGCAATTGACATCTCACATGGTAGATGAACTGATAAAGGGATCAAAATAGAATTTTGCTCAAAGATTAGAGATCAAAGATGCTACTATCTTAAAATTTTTTATATTTTAGATATATTTTATAAAATATTAAATTTAAAATAGTATTTTTAAATTTTTAATATTTTATTCATTAAATATATTTTGTTTTTAATAGATTTTCAAAAATTAAAATTTTCAAAATTCTTTTGAAAAAAATTACATATCATTTTAAAAGATTAAGTAAAAAAATTTTATATTCATATCTTTTTAAAATATTAAGTAAAAATTTTTAAATTATTTTATTTTCATTATTAAAATTTTATATTTATAGAAAATTAAAAAGATAGGCAATCAAAACGGTCCTTATTGCCTCGATATGGTAATTAAAGAAAAGAAATCAAAGTATTGAAAATAACATATATATATATATATATAAATATAACTAAACCTTAATTTTTAAAATATTTTTCTATTAAAAATAATATTTTACTAATGATTATTATCATAATAATAAATTTTATTTTACATGATAATATTATGTAAAAAATCAATTTTTTCTTTAATTATTTTTATTTTTCTTTAATTTTTTCTTTTTTCTTCTTTATAAATTATATTTTATAAAATATATTAGAAAAAGGAAAAGAAAAATATAGTTAGTATTTTTAATAGAAAATAATTTTTTTGGATAGAAAATAATTTTTTATTATGATTTGTTAGTAAAATAATATTTTTAATATAAAATAGTCTTTTATTTTTAAATTGATATGGAATTGTTTTCACTAAGATTTTAAAATTTTTAACTTAATTTTAATTTTTGAATATCTATTTTCTATCAAAACCAAAAAATTTTAATTAATAAATTATGTTACATTAAAAAATAAAAAATTATTATTTTAAATTTAATATTTTATAAAATTATATTTGAAATAAAAAATTGAGATAGTAACTTTCTTATTCTCTAAACTTTAAATAAAATTCTATTTTGATCCCTCCGCCTACCACATAAAATGCTAGTTGACACCATACATCTGATACCAGTTGATATTTAATGTCAATTTAGGTGATTTCATAAATGAAAGGATCAAATTAAAATAATTTTGAGTAATTAAGGATCCAATTAAAATTTTTAAAAATAAAAAATCAAAATATAATTTAACTCAAAATTTAGAGACTAGGGGAGTTATTAACTCTATAGAATTAATCAAATAGTTGAAAATTTTTTACATAGTAGCTAGGTTTAAATGTTCAAAGTCCCCATAAAAAAAAAAGAAAATTAAAAGTCGTGTTGGAATGTTTAATTGACTAGGGAAATGCATGGCAGCTATTATTCCCAACAGCTCAACATTGTTGGTTTAAATACTTTGAACACGGATTTCCACCTAGTTAAAGTGAATGAACCAAGTTTGTCCAAATTCAATTTGTTTGACAGTGAAATTTTTAAATTTTATAAACTAGATTAATAAATTGACACATATTTTTTTTGGTGTATTAAAAACGTAAAAAATTAATTAAAAAAACAAAATATGTATCAATCTCTTAATTCTACTTGTCAAGTCAAAAAATTTTATTAGAAATGTATCAAAAACAAACTTTTATCTTTAATGTGTAAGAAAAAGAAAATTGGGCAAAAAAAATTGGGAATTTCCACAACTTCATTGGGTTATGGCCTTCTTGGCAATTGTTATGAAGTTTCATCCTTGACTTTGCAAAGTAAATAATGGACGGAAATCAATTGTCACTTTTCTTCCTAGTCATAAACGTGAGAAATAAAAATTGTTTATATTCGTGCTATTACTTTTGCCTTTTAGGCCCATCACTTTCCCTTTTTCAACTAAATTATAGTCCAATCTTTCTATTTGGTGTCATTTACAAAAAAAAGCTTATGTCCAAATACACTTAATAAACTTCTATTTCAATCGAGATTGGAAATTTTAACAATATAAGAGATATATGATTTAGACTTGATATTTAAAGTAGATGAAAATGACGAATTTTTTGTAAAATTCAATTTAAATATATATAATTTTGATAAATTTGGATTGATTCTAAAAAAACTAAGAAAGTATTGATCTACGATAAATGGTTTTAATCTATAATTTCGCTGTCATCATCATTATCGTCAACAACACTATTATTATTATTATTATTATTATTATTACTATTATTATTATTATTATCAAAATTAAGAAATTTTAGGTGAACCTTATAAAATCAAAATTCTTGTTATTTGTTAAAATTTATATTAAATGAATTTATTAGTGTAATTTATTATTAAAACATTAAATGATATCATTATAAGAAAATTTTTTCCCTATATTTACAGGTGAAAGGATCATGCATACTAATAGGTAATATTTCAATAAAACATTTTTCCAACTTATAGTAGAAAAATAGAAAATTAAATTGAAAAAAAAATCAATAAAGCTCACAAATTTACCATTAAATACTAATAAGCAATTTTTAATTAAAAATAGTGATTAAACGGAAATTAATGACAACTTAATTTAGCATAATTGGTATTTGTAAAACCTTGCTTTAGTAACAATAACTCAATTTTTGGTTGTACTTATTTGTTTGTGTTTATGAATATGTTCTCATAAAACAGGCATATCAGAATACTTTACAACCAATCATCTAACTTTTAGACAAAAAGAATAAATTAATTTCCGTAACAGTTATATTATTATAATAATAAAATAATTTCTCAAATAATAAAAAAACTTTTATTATTATTTTCTCTACTTTTTCATCTCCAAAAAATCATAACCAAATGACAAAAAAAAAAAAACTAGTGTCTGTAATCACTGATTAAGGATTATTAATTATTATATTTAAAAATTTTTATATTTAATGTTTTATTTTCACCAATTCAACAAAATTAATGCATTAATTATATATTTTTTAAATATTATCTTAACTAGTGTCACTAATCATTCATTAATATTTTTCAACATAAAAAAAGTTTAATCAATTTTTAATTTCAACGAAACCCAGTAAAAATGTTGACAATAGTTAATTAATAATTATTTAATAATTAAAAAATATTATGTCTTGAATTAATTTATATAATATTTAAAAATGTACCCAAAAAGATTCAGCTAAATATGTTGAGATCTGTCGCCTTGATTCTGTCTGATACGAAACAAGACTCAATACAGATTTCTTGATTAAAAAAAAAAAAAAAAAAAAACCAAACGACTCCTTCACATCAAACCCCTAAATCAACGGCTGAGATTATCCGCAGCCATCATTTAACTATATATATATATATATATATATATATATAACTCAATACAGATTTCTTGATTAGAAAAAAAAAAAAAAAAAACCAAACGACTCCTTCACATCAAACCCCTAAATCAACGGCTGAGATTATCCGCAGCCATCATTTAACTATATATATATATATATATGAACTAATACGTCCACCACTTCTACCTAAAAATTTCTCCGACTCTCTAACCGTTTTCATTCTTTCATTATTCTCTCAAAACCTCAAATCCCAAGTCCTTTCATCTTCTTTCAAGAAAATGTGATTACTATTGTTTTGTTATTTGAACAGCTAATCTGAATAATTGGTTCAGTTTGTAGAAGAGCTTCGATACTCAATTTTTATTAAAAGAATATTTGATTTATCGCCTTTTGGCGAGAAATGACAGAGTTTTGACGATTACAAGATTGGAGGAGAGCAACTGGACGATGGCAAAGTCTTTTGGGTCATTTGGACTAGGGGGATTACTACTGCTGGCGGCGTTGGCTGCGTCTATGATGGTTCTTCCGCTGATGTTGCCGCCGCTACCGCCTCCGCCATTGATGCTTCTGTTGCTTCCAGTTGGGATCATGGCTGCTCTCATGTTCTTGGCGTTTTCCCCCACGGAGGCTGCTGGAAATGTCGTCGTTCTTGTTCATACAGTATAAGAACACATGTTAAACGTGTCTTCTATAGGAAGATGGTCGGCCATTGATGGGCGGCTCTGCTGAGGTCGTAGATGTACATTGTTGATTTTATTTGAAGAGTACACCGTCCTTTCCATGTTTGATAACATGGATGCACCTCCATAATTCCTTCAATCTGTCATTATTCCAAATATCTTATCTTTTGCGTGGGAAGTTGATAGAGATCCTATTAATCTTGGACGTAAAATAAAGAAGTTGGTGGTGGAACTAGTAACAGTTCAAGCAGCTGATGATGAGATTGATGAGGTGATTGATGAGTCATCAACTACGTTGAATTTCAAGCCTGCTAGTAAATCTTCTATTCAAGCTTTGAAAAGGGTGAAATTTGGCAACGATGAAGATAGTCTTTTACCCTTGAAGAAGAGGAGAAGACGTGAGGATATGAATTCCAAGAAACAATGTACTATTTGTTTGGATGATTTCATCGACGGTGAGGAGATTGCTTCGATGCCTTGTGGACATGTTTACCATGATGGTTGCATTGTTAAATGGTTTGAAACGAATCACTTGTGCCCATTATGCCGATATGAGATGCCAAGTTGATCTAATTTATATCTTTTCCAAGTGGTGAAAATAACTTATTTTATTTTGTTATTGAATGTGCGTTTGAGAAAAGGAAATTGTTTTGGTGCTTTTGGGAAAAAGGTTGAGATTGAACTCGTATAATTTGCTAACATAGTGGATATATTCGAATTTGTCCTATGATTTTTTCCTCAACGTGGGAGGATTTTTCATGTAAATATTTTTGTTTTTATACTAATGCTTGCAATTTCTGTTTAATTGATTGATTTGAATAAATTTTATTATGATTATTATTGGTTTGTGTTGTAGTGTCTATAATTCGTTTTTGAAAGTTTGATACCTGAGGTTTAATAATTTTTGCTGATTGGAAGATACTATTAAATCTTAATTTCTTTTCATGATCACATTAAAGAGGATCAAAAAACTTTATTTGCTCCTTAAAGGGTTTGTTCATAGACATTGATCCCTCATATCATTTTTTTTTCTTTGGTTCATTCAGAAAGTTTTGTTTCCAATGATCTAAAAAGCAGATCACCAAAAACCAAAAAGAAACAATTCAACCAATGCAAATTTTATATCTAGAAAAGGGCCAAACAGTGCTCATTAATGTGCTCTTAAATTTTGGAAATTACTGTTAGAAGCACTCTTTTTCCAATTTTGATTTTGTTTGCCATATTTTTATGAAGAAAAAGGTTAAAATAAATATGGGTCCTGTATTAGTTATTATGGAAATATCTGTGGGCTGGACTATAATTTTGAGTCATTACTGGCATAATTCATTATTCTATTTTATTGAACTAAAATAAAATAAACTTTTTGTATATAATTTTTTTTCCCAATTTGTCTTTCCTTTGTCATTCTTTTTTCAAGACAAAGGTTAAGAATTTGATATTTCAAATTTTTTAATGTTATTTTAAAGATTAATGTCAAAGTGATCATATGTTAAAAACTCAAAATTGAGGCAAATAGATTATCAAGTTATTTTTGTATGTCATGATGTGCAATACAAAATCTAAAACAGCTCAAACTTATCTTTTATATAAGAATTTATTTTACATATAATTTCAATAAAATCACCCTTGATTTTTTTGAGTGAGGCATTAATTTTAACACATTGCTTGTATGATTTCTCAATTTTATTTCCCTATTTTATTATTTTTTTCACAATTAATTATTTTCTTAATTATATAATTTAATTATATCTTTATTAATGCCTATAAATACATTACATTACGCTTATAAACTCATTTAAAAATAATATATATAAGATTTTATGTATTTTACCAATGAATCACAATTTATCACTTTATTAATTACAATGGCAAAAAAATTTATACGATGACAAGTTATGATTATTGTTTATATTATTGAATTATATATTAATAGTATATTAAATATAAATTTTAAAATTGAAATTAATAAATATAAATTACTTCAAATCTTATGAATTAACGATAATTTATTTTTTATAAAAAAAGAGTAATTTGAAAGTAAAATAAAGAATTGCAAATACTAATATTAAAATTCAAACCTTTTGAATGTTAATTTTTTAAGATTTAATTTCAACTTTCACAAGAAACATGTAATACACTTGAAACATGGATACATGTGAATCTTGCACAAACCAATTAAAGGCTAGACAGGCACATGTCACCAATGTCTTGGTCTCTCCCAACTTTAGTCAAATAAAATGTCCATGTTCCAATGTTTAATTAAAACACATGGGAAGTTTAACCTAAAATGTCAAACGCAATCAACTCTTTTGTTGTGGAAGGAATCCTCTTTGAACTTCTAAACCAAATCAAAATAAATTAAATCGACCATAATAATTTGTTAGCATTAGAGATTAGGCATCAATAAGGGAAGCCCCAAGTTAAAATTCATTTAATCTATAAAATAAATGATTTTGGATGCAAATTATTTTTTTTATTTGAAATTGTCAACATTTTAATCTTAATAATTAAAATTAAAAACCCAACATCCTATAATAAAATACATAATTATTTGTTATAATAACACATTAATTATAATTTTTTTCTTAAATATCACATTAATAAGTGTTAAAAAAATTTAAACAAAATATTTATCTTGAATTTTATATAAAAAATTACAGACACTAACAAATGGGTGGCTTGATATTTAAAGTTCGCCTAGTTTCAATACCAACTAATGTTAAATTTTTTTAATTTAATCTCAAAATATTTTTTTTGGTATAAAATTTTTTGATGTTTAATAGTTATTTTAAATTTCGATTAATTCAGAATTAAATCGAATCAACCCTCATAAAAGAATAAACTCTCTCAAACTTATTTTTTTTATTTACAAAATTTGAAATTAAAATTTTATTTAAAACAATTAAATTATTTACCACTTTGATCAACAAGCACCGGTTATTTAATCTCAAATTAATGATTTCTTATGAAGAATATAATAAAACGTCTTATCTTAATTGAAAACCGAACCATTTATTAATCTTGAATTTTTTTATTATAAGTTTTTTAAAATTAAGTAAAATTTGTATTATAAAATTTAAAATAAAAAAAAAGAAGTGAAAGGCGCGTGAGCTATTGAGGTCGGTTCACATTCGACGCATCTTTAAAATATGTATCAGTGAGATATATCACCCATCATTATCTCTGTGTGTGTTAGACGCGCCTCGGTGGAACGTCTTCACACGCCATCCATTGAACTAAGACAGTTCTATGACTTTGCTGTCATCTTCCTCAGCGTTCTTCGATTTTGGGAACGTCCTCCAATCTCTTTCTTGGATTTTTTTTTTTTTTTTTTAAATTTTCGCATCTTATCGTATCTTCTTCTTGCTTTTATGAGCACGTGGTTGAAAATGGGATATATGTTTTTTTTTTTTTAAATTAATGATTTTGTTTTGTTTGTTTGGCTAGATATGATGGGATTTTGTTTGAGTAATTACAATATTGCCACTTGTGGTTTTTGTTATTAAGTTAAATATTTTAAACTTAACTCATCGAGTTTTATATAATGTAGTTGATTTAACGATAGGAATGGTATTTCAATTATAAAATTTTTTTTATATTTTATATAAATATATAAAAATTATATTTTTGGTAAAAGAAAATAATTTATTTAATATAAAAGAAAATAAACTATGTGGATAAGTTATATTTTTTATATGTGAAATGTTATAGGTAAATGTCATGTGTTATATAATTAATGAATTTAATTATATAATTAACTTCAAAATAATTTATTATGGCTGAATTAATTACTTTTAAATATTAATATTCCTGCATCCTATAAATTAGTTATAATTAATTTGATCATTAATTCAAAAAATCAAAATTTAAATAAAAAACTAAGTAGTCAAGAATAATTTTGCTTATTTATTAATCATTATTTATAATTATATAAACATTTTAATCTATTAGAACAATCTATATATATACACACACACACACACACACAAATATATATATACACACACAAAAGATAACTTCAATATATTAACTTGAAAAAAAAAATTGTAGGATAATATTTTTTACATGAATCCTGTCAAAATATCATGTGTTTTGATTATAATCAACAATTCAATTTTTAAAATTAAAATTACAAACTAATTTAATTTTTAATATTTTTCAATTATTGTCCAAAAAATATTGTTAACTTTTCAATAGCTTTAATTTTAGTTTTTTGTTTAACTTTAATTATAAATTTTTTTTCTATTGTTTTTATAGTAAAAATCTTATTGGCCATTCAATAGCTTTCATTTTGTTTTGAATTCTCTAAAATTTTTTATACTTACATTACTTTAATTTTGGGTGTTTGATTACAAAAAAAAATGATAGGTCAAATTATATATTTAAAATTTAAACTCTATAATAATATGAAATTAATGGAGACAATAATTTTTTATAATAATATGTAATTGATTGATACCTCAATCCTTGAGATACACATTTTGCGAGTATATGTGTTGTCTATTTATATAATGGTGATATGATGAATTTGACACATATAACAATTGTTGTCAAAAAATTTTCATTTGTATTCTTTAATTTTTTTCTCTTAATACATAATTTAAATAATGGTATGAATTTTTGATAGATCTGGCAATTCATGTATTCGTATCATGTAAAATATTAAAAATTATGTATTCATTTTGTGTTTTGTATAAAAATTGTGTCGCAATTCATGTCGACAGAAAAAAATGAAATAATTTTTTTTGTTTTGTTTAACCTATTCATAGTTTTTGCTAAAATTTTAAACAATATTATTTTTATGTATTTTATTCATATTATTTTTATGTCGTGTCATCGTATCGTATTTAAAATTATCAAGTCCACTTTATGATATTTTACACCAATATTTTGTATTTTATAATAAGCTATAAAATGGTGTTGTAAGATTATAACTTTGTCAGTATTATTATTTTTTTTAACATAATCATTTTTTATTTAGTATTATATTTTTATAAGTATATTTTCCTTAATTATTCAAAATAGAATTATTAGATTAATCTTAGTTATGGTTATTTGATTTTTTTTTCTTTTTATTTCAGCTTTGATTTAGTGTTCTTGAATATTTTACTATGAAAATTAATTGATAATTTTTTCCCAATTTTGTAATTGTAAGGTTTTCATATTAAAACAAAAAACTATAATGTTGAAAAAAATTGTGAATGATGGTAAATTTCTTTTATCAAAACTTTAATTTTTTTTATAGACCTCTTTGAATGATTTGATTTGATCTATTTATATATTTTTTTATTTTTTTTATTTATTATTAATATTTGGCACTTATGTATTTCTATCTCTATGATGAATTCATTATTTAATTTCCCAATAAAAAATGATTAAAAGTCTACTTTTTTCATTTTTTTTATTTGATTATTAAATATTTCATTTGTAATAAGTAAGGAGAGAAACTATTCGTCACTTATTTTTATTTATAGTTTTATTCTATATTTTTTCTTTTGCATGTAATTCAACGAGAAATTTAACAAATTTGATATTATTTGAACTTACATTAAGTTTTCAACTTAAAGT